CTTTCTCTAGAAATTAGGAAGTATGAATTAATGGAAGGAATTGTCAATAGGAAAATTAATTAAGGATGATAAGTATAATATTTAAAAATAATAATAATAAATAAAACAAACGGGTCAACCCATCAACCCGCGGGTTGACCCTAACCCGACCCGTAACCCGTACGGGTTGATAATACGGGTTATCTACGGGTTACGGGTTGAGATATGTAGACCCTAACCTGTTTTTTAAGGGTCGGGTTAGGGTCGGGTTGACGGGTCGGGTGGATTTTTGCCAGGTCTAGTTGATATTATTCTTCAAATAAGAGTCAATTTACCCGAGTCAACAACTGGATCATAGGGTAACTTCCTAGTTAAAATGTGGAGAGGGTAGTCATCCACCTAAAGTGGAGTATCCTAGGGGTTGATTTTATAATTTATCTTTTGTTTAAAAAATTATGTCAGTATTTACTAATTATGCTTAGGTTTCGTTTACAATATTTTTTATAGATTTTTTTTATATGATATAGTTCTATTATGTATTTTTAGTTATATTATGTATTTTATTTACGGAATTTTTTTTTGTACTTTGTGTCTTAAAAATGTAATAAATATATATTTTATTATAAATTTATATTAAAAAATAAAAATTAACATTTAATTTATTAATTATTTAATTAAATTTATTTACTTATTAATAATGTTAAAATTAATATCACTTTCTATATTTCTCTATATTTATAATGAAAAGGTGCCCAAGGCACAGAAAAAAACCCAATAAAAAATTTTAAGATCGAAGCCCTGAAATTTCACCAATTTTTAACGCTGAGGCATCTGAAATTCGCTGTATCATGGAACCATGTCATTCTCCTTCAACAACTCTTTTGAACATTAATGCCGGCATGCAGCAGAAGTAAGTTTTTGGTTGGTTGTTGTTATTAACTTTTTTTACTAAACTCTTAGCATCCAAAAATTATATTAGTTCTTAATTAATTTGGTATCAAATTGAGTCAAATCTTTTAAGAGAAAACTTGTTTGCAACTTATTTTTTTATTCATAAAATTTAAAGTTCAAATTTTATTTTAAAAAATTAAATTTCTTTACTTAAACAAAAAATAAATAAATAAAGAACAAGATTATTAAGTCTTATGAGTATGTTTGATATAGTTAGTAGAAAGTCCTTTTGGACTCTAAAAACTCTAATTATACCAAACACTACAACTTATAAAAAATGCTACCACTTTTCATAAATTAATCTTTTGTTTATTTAATTACAAATCTTAAAAATATCAAATTGGTGCTTTTGCAAAATCTTTTCATTCTGAATTTTAATAAAATTAACATATTATTTTTATTTTATTTTATTTTTTATTTTTTATTTACAAAAATAACACTTTTACAATAAAACTTCTATTAAAAGCTCCCAACCCACTAAACGCAACTATATCTTAGATTTGTAGGCGGCAGCGCCGCTACTCTTCAAGGGAATAGTGGCTATAGGGGCCAACGGTGCTGGGCCTGATGCTAGTTTCGGTCCTTTAGTTTAACCTTAGGCCTTCTTCTCGTCAATACAAGTCCAAGAGGTTATTGATTTGGGCCCAGCCCATAAGCCCAATATTTCTCATACCTTTTGCAACTGAAAATATATATCCACTTGTCTTCATTTTCCAAAACCAGAAACAAAATCCACCTGCCTTTGGCGCCAAAGTCATTCATCTCTTTCTTTCTCTTTCTTTCTCTCATATCGCTTCCTTGTTTTTGGCTTGATTGACGGAAATGGATTCCGATCAGGAGGCTTCATCGGCAGTCGATTTCGAAGATAAAGAACACTATATTACCAGTTTTTATGATAGGATTCGTGATATCAAAATAAGCCAGGAAACCGCGATCGAAGGGTTCCGGATATTGGAGGGCCATTTGCGGCAGGAGGAAACGGCGGAAATGGCAGATCTGAACAATGAAGCTGAATATCTGGTGATTGCAATCGAGCACATGAACAAAAAGTTTCAAAGCTTCTCGACTCAGATCTCTCCCGCTGGTATTCAGAATCTTGATCTTACAGAGGTTCGACGTGTGATATTCAACCAAGCGGATAATCAATTGGAACCCTTAATGCAACAGACTTTATGGTTCTGGAGAACATTTGAAGAGATCGAGAAAAGGGTAGAAGCCTGTCTTCTCAATTTTCAACTTCGTAAAACACCGTCCGGTTCTGCGGGCAGCGGTAGTGAAACAAATACGCGACCTCCGCCTACGGCTAGCCATGTTGCGGTCCTTCTAGACAGAATTGATGCTACGAAATGCAATCCTGAAGATATCGAAGAAATCAGTAGTAAGTTCCGCTCTTTTCTTCAGAAATTCAAAGGACTTCAACGCATTCAAAGCAATCTACCGCCTGCCAAGTCCAAGATCGAGGCAACGGAGAACAAGTCAGAGGAACAGGAGATAGAAACGGAAGCTGCCACGACATCGAAGCACAAAACGGAGCAAGGTACGGAAGGGATTGGTTCATCAGAAGGATCATTGGCTGCCTCTGGTGATGACAACGGCGAGGGCGTTGTTTCCAAACCCTATGCCAAGGTTCTTGATCTTCAAGAACAGATAACAGCCACTGAACAAAATGTCAAGAAATTGATGGAAGAGTTGAAGAAAATGGAAGATCTGCACAAGGAAGCTAAAGATGCATCGATGGAATTTGAAGAGTTGAAGAAGAGGATTCAAGAATCCACGCCTGCGTTCTTTCCATCTGGTGATCAGAGTCTTGATCCTTCACTGTTGGAAACGTTTCAGCAATGGAATCTCGGCTTCGCTCTAGAACTCAAAGCAATCGATCAGAGAGTCAAAACTGTTCAGGAGTCGATAGCACCGAGTAGGCAAGGGACACCTCCACCACCTCCGGAAAAAGAAGAGCTGACACTGAGTCCTGCCACCGCATCGAAAATCGCGGCTATGGAGTTAACCGAAGCGATCAATCAGCAAGTATCAGGTACCAACCGGAGTTTGAGTGATATCGTGATTGGTGTGTATGGATTTCAATCGAGCCAGGCAAATGAGATAGAGATGGAAGTTGCTAGGATAGCCCTGAATTGGAAAGGTCAAGCTGCTAGAACTTCATCAGGGACTGGTTCAGATTCAACAATAGAACAAATGAAATTGAATTGGAAAGGTGTGGGGGAAGCAAAGAAAGTGCTGCAATGCTTGAAGTCTGAGAATAAGGAAATTCACCATGAGATTCCGGCTGCATTAAGGCTCTGGATTTACTGTGTGGAGGCTCAAATTTATAACCTTGTTCGTTATCTCCGATCCATGATGTCAAGCAATGAAGAAGCATGGGAGAGGCTGCAGCACTTGAGAAGTGCACTTGGAGAATTGAGACTGAGCAATGATGGGATGGTACCAATTATGGTACACAAGATCTTTGCATTGCTGGAAACGCAGGCACCAGAGGAGGAATCAGGATATAACAGAGAACAGCAGGCAACATTGTACAGAGACATGAGTTTTGATAAGATGATTGATTCAGTTCATGGGATGATTTTTCATATCAGACTTACGCTGATGGGTTCGGGCATTTCGAATGCAAAGGAAGTAAGTCCATCTACGCTGGAGATATGTGAGCAGGCGTTAATAAAAGCTGAGGAGGAATTGAAGAGAATTGAGGAGAGGATTACGGAAGGCAGGACATATGTTCCACAAAAGAGGAAGAGAGAGGATGAAGAAGGCCCAAGCGGAGGTGGAAACGGCAGTGGGAACTTGGAAATGTCAGAGGATGCCAAGGGAAAAAGGGTGCGGAGGGAAGAGTAATTTGCATGGTATTGTGATAAGAGTGTATAAATGTGGAAACCTTGATGATTTGTTTTCTTCTCCAATTAAGCAATACAATAGGCATGGTGATGTTGTAGATTTTTGAATTTGGAGGGTAAGAGTCCAAGTTTGGTCAATTTTGGGATTTGGACTTAGTGTCTGAAGAAAGGAAGACCAAGTTCGTGTGTTACCAGTTTACCAATACATTTTTCAATGATTAAGGAAGGTAAAAATGAAAGGCTTTAGTAACTTCAAAGGAGTTAATTTACTAGGTTGTGATTGTAATCACTAAATTCTCAGGGTGTTTGGGGGGCAAGTTGAAAGCGGCTTGAGTAGTCTAAGAATTTTAAGCTCGAACTGGAGAAGTATGTTCGGTATCAGGTTTGGTTCAACAAAAAAGGGAAACTGTAAAACTGGAAATCAACTAGGTCTCAGCTGGAGTGAGAGCAAATGCTTCGTTTGGTCTCAGACTGTCAACTCGAATTCACCATTTTGTTGGTCTCAGCTACAGCGTGAGCTTCGTGTCCAATCATACGAGAAAAAGGTGAGATAATTAACATTCAGTTTCATTCAGTACACAGGAAATGTTACATGAATGTCATAGTCTTGATCTATGTCGTTCCCATATAGGAGTTACTCGTATCTATCACCCTTCTGGTGATCCAGTGCATGATTATACACAAAATTAGTTAAAAATTCAAATATTTCAAGTGCAAATCCTAGAAGAATAATAAAAAAAAAAAAGAGTGCTTCCACCAGGCCTAAGGCTCTAGTATGACAAGAATTCAGATACAGGAAGGGGAAAAGTATATGATGTTGCACTAGAGAGGCAGCAAGAACTGTAGGGGCAGACTCATCAGCATCTAGTAATCAGAACCTGCAGCATCCCCTTCTAAGCTTCTCCGCTTCTTCTTCCCCTCTCCATGCCTTGACCGCCTTGGTGCTTCATCCTCACTTTCACTATCGTCATTTCTGAAATTGTTTCTTGTACCAAATTGACCTTCATTGTGAGTCTTTAGTCCTTCCTGCTGATACTGTGTCTCATCATCCATTCCGCCCCCAGGACCAGTTGTTTCCTGACCCTTACCTGGGTCTGATCCTGCACTATATCTATCACTGGTTGGTGTCCTCTGATCTCTCTTGACAGCACGGTTGGAGTTCTGCGAAGGGGGTGGTGGAAACATGGGAGGCATGCCAACAGGCCGACCACCGCGAACTGCATTTGCACCTGTAGGTCCCATCCCTCCCATAAATGGGGCACGTCCTGGGCCCATCATCATCCCAATTCCACCACCTGGAAATATTGCACCAGCTTGGGGAGGTCGCCCTGGAAACATCATGCCAGATGTAAAATCACCAGAAAACCTTGGACCATAAGGAGCAAAAGCACGTGGACCACCAAAAAGATCTGGCATCCCAAAACCATCAGGTGTTACTGGTCCATAAGAAAACCCATCACCACCCATCATCATAGGTGGAAAACCTCGCATCCCAGGCATGGGTCTGGCACCACGTCCTAGTGGCATGTGAGGAGGCCACATGACTCCTCTGCCCCTACCTCTACCCTGAGCAGCTGTACCAAAGCTATCGTCTTCCTCCTCACTTTCTTCCTCTTCTTCTTCTTCTTCTTCATTGTCCTCAAAAGGTACAATGTCAGGGTTCTCTCCTGCATTGTCTGGATTGACTCCCTTAGCTTTCTCTTCTTCTCGTTTGGATTCTGCGACAACTGAGAGTGCCTGCGCCCAAGAGGGCAAAAGGGACAGATTCATTTTAGTTTGGGCATCCAAATTCAATAGATAAAATATAGACCGTGAGAAAATTCAATACAGGCACTCAAGTCTTACACTCACTCCATCCACTTCCTCAACCAACAATGAAAACAATTTTAAAGGAAAACTATAACTTTGAAAGACAGGCTTTAAAAGCTTAGTGAAATTTTACTTGACAAGCAATCAAATTATGAATTTTTATCACCATGGTTGATAATTAAGGATACTATTAACAAAGCCCTACCCTAGACAAATTGTATCTGCTAAGACCTCTCCCTACTTCTTGACCCAAAGCCAAATTGCATACGTTATTTTTCCTATCTACCCTAGTATCTCCTCTGTTTAATCCCTGTAGTCCTTAGTTAACAAAACACTAGTGACAAAGTCCTAAATATATTATATCAACTGTCTAGACCGGTCCTCCCTATCTTTCTTTACCAAAGCATATAGTTTATGTAAACTACCTTCTATTGTTTCCTTTGATTTTCATTTTGTTCATCACTTTCCGCACCTATATGAACAAGTTCTAATTATGTCTAAAAACTCTAAGAGAAACAGGCATACCATAAACTCAATATCTAGTTCATTTTTTATTTGTTGCTTTCTACACCTATTCGATCAATTTCTTCTTTCTGTCTAGAGATTCTAAACTTCAAAATTTAGGAAACATTACAAAAGCAAGCATACCATCAGCTCACTATCTGGTTCAAGATAAAGCAAGGAAGCCAACTGCTCACCAATTGAGGGCTCCAACTCCTGGCAATCTCTACTTATCTGCATGTGCAAAAAGTACAAAACAAATAAACAATCATAGAACCAATAAAAAGGATTATTATTTTTGGAAAAATTCCTCATAAATTTTATGAATTTGTAAAGTGGATAAATTGCAAGTGCTGCTTTAAGAATCAACATTGCATTTTATTAAGAAAGCAGAAGAAAGAAGATGAATAACTATAAAAATCAGAAAAACAAAAAGAAGCTTAAATTGAGATTTAAGGCTGGCAGTTACACCTTCACTGGTAAGTTCTCATTGTATGGGTTCCTCAAGTGACGAGTTTTGTGGAAGGACAGCTCACACAACTACAGATCAAAAGCAGCAGTTAGTGATAAAAATTAGAGAAATCAATCCAGAATACATTGTTTCACTCCCACTTAACATTCCCCCATTTGTTCAAGCTCAGATAAATGAATTATTCTAAGACTTGCCAATCTAATATAATTCAAAACCCATAACATTACATAAACTAGATCAGATATTGAGATCGACAAGTAGAAATATCAAAGTCAGTGAAATGGACTCCAGAGTACAATTCCTCATAAGGTTTATGAGGAATTCTTGATCACAGGATCAAATGGACACTCAATATTAAGAGTAAATACAGTATTGCAACTTTTAAGTTTGATTAATCACTGAGTTTGAGTCATCTGAAAATCACAGGTTGAGACCATAGAAGGAGATAAAAACCGACATCTTAAGCTAAAGACAGCAGGCACGTAACAACTATTTTGAAAATTTCTCCTCATTCTTTTTTTTATCACCCATTTTCACTTAAACACTGGGAAACAAGATAAAACAGATGATAACAGACAGGGGAGTGCAGCTGTGCAAGCAAAACAATTTATAAACAGTAACATTCCCATTAGGCATGGAATTTTTTTATTTTTTATTTTTTTTAATTTTAAGAAGAAAAGAAAGAAAAGGGTGAAGGGAAAATATACCTTCAACCATTTAACTGAAAAATTTCGCCCATAATGTGCAGTTCCATGTGCATGTTTCCAGTTTCCCCCACTGACAGATCCACCAATTTTGGATGTCATCTTGGCACAACCCTAGTAACCAAAGACATTTCAAGTTCACACCTCAGAAATAAACATCACAGGCAAAAGTTGGATCAACTAGATAGGAGTTGTTCAAGATCTAATAAGATATTGGTTAACAGTTAATTAGGAAAGAAAGATGACCTGAGATCCCCAATTACCTGGAAATGCCGAGTACGATTAACAGAGAAGATCAAAATCACATTTTCAGCAGAGTCAAAAGCTTCGTTCAGTTTAGCTTCATTGCTTCTTTGAGTTGCCCATACTCCTTGTTGAACAGACAATTCCAAATTTTCACGGTTGCAACTTTTAACGATAAAATACCTAAGGTTCCATGCAAGGAGAAAAATTAGATGTATCCTAATTATTCACAAAACCAATAATTCTCTCAAAAAAAATTAACTGGGACGCAAATGCAATATTAAAGTTAACAATAAAAATGGATAGAGAAGAGCCATCTGGGCAAATGTCTTGAAGTAGTGCGCCTAACATTTGATCACTGAATCAATGTATTTCTCATACAAGGCCAGATCCAGAACAAATTGATGCTGGCATTCTGCTCCAATGCAGTTCAGGATAAAATAATGTAATAACCAAGCAATATGGTTTCCTAATAAGGGATAGAGAAAGCAGAAAGCTTTAAAAGACTACACAATTACAATAGTTGTAAAGACATAAACGCTGCTACATGTAACAGGGAATTATGGAGAAAGCTAGATGATCCAAAATATACCTTATATTTAGAGGACATTTAACTTCAATAACGTGAAAAACTACTATTAACAGATTCCTAGATCAAAAAAAATTAAGGAATTATCATTGATAAGAGACATCAAGGTTGATAGCCTGCCTGCTTAGAAATCATAAATAAACACAATTTGGATAGACATATTTTCTCCAAAAATGTAATTAACCTTTACAATAGCCTGAAAAGACCAACAACAACTAGTATTATAACATTCATTCAAGATGCTTTTTCAAACTTCCCTGACACATATAAGGTGTAAAAGAAATCCTTCTCCAGGAATAATTCTTTGTACTATCTGAAGTTTTAAAGAAAAAAAAAATCAAGTATACCATACCTTATCTTCTCTATATATATAGCTAGGGGGGGAAGAAACAGAAAAGTTTTTCATTTATTTCTGTCTTTTAACTGCAATATCTAAGCCAAACCTTAGCAGAGACACAGCACAACCATTCACCTTCTCTTAAGATTTCAGTGTAAACAAAAAATTGAATGGAGAGTACGAACATCATAAAAAAGAAGTGTGAATTAATGTCAAATTATCAAATATCCCAATGTACAGCATAAACAAATTAAACATGTAGAATAACCGCAAGTAACTACATGGACAGCGACAGAACTCTTTTGAGCAATAATTGCTGAATAACAAACATCTTATAACTATATTCAGATAAAATACAATGAATGATTTACAAAACCCAGTTAAAGACCTCAGGTCTCTGAACACACCTAGATATTCCTGGAGGCAAAGCTGTAGCAGATCTATTTGGTTGATTAGGCTGGCCAGCAGGAGCAGTTTGCATCTGGTTCTGGCTGACCTGTTGTTGGGGTTGCTGAACTTGATGCTGCTGTTGCTGCTGCTGCACATTAGCAGATTCTGTTGTTGAAGGTTTTCCAACAGCTCCTTGGTTGACAGTGTTGGGGCCTTGTGGTGCCTGAGGCTTATCTGTTTGTTGGTTAAAGCCAGAATTCCTTTGTTGATATTTATTATAATAATAAGAATTTAACTGCTGAATTTTCTGTAACACTTCCTCAACTGAAGGTGGAGGACCCGGCTGCTTTGCATGCCTGTATCTGCAGTCAGGACCATTTGGACAGAAACCTAGTTTGTACCTGCACAATTTAAGAAGAAACACATACTTAATCTTCCTCTTTGTGGTAATATGATAGCCAACAAACAAGAGCAAATGCATTTCTCCAGGTTATGCTATTATGATTCAGCTTTATTCAAAATTTCTGCTCCTACTTCTAGCCTATAACAATAAAAGAATACACTATATGTTCCTTTGGAGATCTCAAGACGAAAAACTAATAAAAACAATAGCTAAAACAACATAAGAATTAAACTCAATCAGAATTAGACAGAAGAAACTGTAATACCATACATGTTACACTCCTTGATATCCTCATTGGTGTGCTTATACACGCAATCCTGCTCCCGACACTCCCCGTACAGTCGAAAGAATCGACAAACAGGCATTCGAGACTTATCGTACTGGTGGAGGAAACCACAGGCGTCTCCCTTCATACAGAGACCGCGGAGCCAGTGCCGGCAGACGGTCTGCCGGAAGCTCCGCCTCCCAGCGCCACCGGTGGCAGCAGCTGCAGCTGCAGCTGCAGCGTCGGTCGTGACGGCATCATTGGCGTTGGGGGCGGCAGAGGTTTCATTGACGGTGGAAGCGTCAGCTTTGACGACTGGCATGGAAGCAGTGGGCGCAATAGGGCCGGCGTCGAGGCCGCCCTCAAAATCGAAGCTGAGACCTCCCTCTGTATCCTCCATAATAGGCTATGTGAGGTATTTGTGTTGTTTTACTGTCTGATTTAGGGTTTGCTGGTGGGAAACATGCAGAAAGGAAGAAGGCGAGATGGAGATGGGAGTTTGTTAAGCAGGCGTTATGGGTTTTGCGCACGGCGTGAATTAATTACATTCCAATTTGGAATTATAGGAAATTCAGGGAGGGGGGTTTTGTGAACAAAATAAAATTGGGGACTATTTCTGCAAATATAAGTAATTTTCCTCTAAGTTTAATTTTTATCCTTCCTTTTTAAAATTTTTGGATAAAATATAAATTTATTAACCTCAGCCGTGGGCTGGATCCATGGCAAGCAAGCACTTCAAGTTTTTGAGTTACTATTGAAAAAAATTAATTTTCTTTAATATATTAGATTATGTAGAAAATAATTAATTTTAAAATATATAAAAATTAATTTAAGATATATTGACTATAAATATCACAAAAATTTATTGTCACAAACTTTCAGTACACACAAATTCACAAAACAGAACATTATAATACATGTTAAAATAAACAATTAAGTTTTTTATTGATTAAAATTTTATTTAAAAATGTGTTTATGTAAAATGTCTGAGTACAAAAGTAAAATAGTTAATTTAACAATTAATTAGTAAAAATATTAATTATATTGCTCAATTTTTTTTAAACGATTATAATTTGAAGATAAGAAAAAGATATTTGCATAATATTATTGTGATTCAAATATTAATACTAGTCAAGATATTAAGTACATCAACGAACTAACTTATAAAATCTTGTGCAATTATATTAGAGTGGTATTATAAGAATAACTTTTTTATATTATTTTTTTATATAATTTCATATATTATTAAATAAGTTAATGCATTTACTATCATAAGTTTCATATAAATTAAAAAAATCAATTATTTAAATGATAAATTAAGTTGTAAAAAAAAAATAAAAAAGTTATACAAAAATTATTTCTCATTATATAATATTGCTCAAATTACTTCTGTGCGTAAGATTTTTCTTAATTCGTATATGGTAAGTTGATTTTGCCACTTTGTATTTGCATTAATCCTTTATGGTTTTTGTCATTTTTATTTTCTCCAAATTCTTTTGAATAATCACTGTTTATTTACAAATATCCTGCATTGAATTAACTATGGATTAGACGTTCCAAAAAACAATAATAATAATAATAAAAGAATTAGAGGCTTTGTTTTATCTTTTCTTACTCCATTACTAACCACCTTGGCAGCAAAGTCTTGGAAAATTTTCAATGTTGGCTTTTTTTGAAAAAGTTAAAACATGTTCTGATCTTAAATAGACGAAAAAGGCTTTGAAATATCTTGGGATCATAGGTTAAGTGGCTAAGTTTAATAGGCAATTACAATTTTAATTGTGTGTTAACAGAGTGAAGAAAAAATAGTGGCAGCAAAATTCAAAACATAGCACCATTCAGACACTCACATTACTACAGTAACAATCAAGTTTGTTTTCAACATTCAACTGGCTGAGGAAAGGCACAAATTCAACAAAGGGGGAGACGCAGAAGAGGAAAACAGACGTAACTACGCTTCAGCCTAGGTGTTATCAAAATGCATAGATATATGGGCTGATAAATGGGGTCTCAATAACAGTGTTTTTACCAATCTATTCCCAATTCTCTGGAAATGAAGAGCTTGTCAATGTAAAGAATAACTGGACGTGATGCATCAACGTAACTTCGCATTTGATTCACTGCCTCAGCCTCTGCAGGAAACATGAGGAAGAATAACATTAATATTAGCTTAAATATGAAAATGAAAAAGCCCAGTTCATTACTTTCCTTTAAAAGGAAAGCAAAGCTAATGCCAAAAGGAGGCAGGGACAAGCCATTTTTCAACCAGCACAAAATTATATTACGGCTTTCAAGTTCCAGCCATTTTGACTGATCTAAAGCAACAGGTTTGATGCAAACCCCGCTCATTTGTAGGGGAAGAGGGAAATTACTTTATTCCACATAAGCGCAGCCTAAATCCCAATAACGCTTAATCCAAAAATGATAGGTCGTTGTTTTAACCATGGATGATGCTATAGGTACGGGTGGTGCTAAGCCACGTTTAGACCACTGCGAAGTCAAATTATGGTTTTCAAACACTAGCTTTTACATCCAATCTTAGAGCAGTGTTGATGGGAACCTTGCTCCACCAAGGAAAAACAGGAATATTCAACATAAGCACAAGCCGTATTCCATAAATGCTTAATTCAAACAAATTATAGAATCTAGATTATATTGTGCTCAATGTTAACAGGTTTCAGTTAGAACCTAGAACCAACTACCAATACCCACCTCTAACAGGTCCACAACATTTCAAACCACTAGATAATTAAGAAAACGTCATAATATGAAGTAAAAGCATAGATGTCTTATTAAGGTGCATTTGACTGTAAAAATCGACTTATGCATTCACTGACCATCTTCACTGAGCTTGCTCAATAGCTGTTCTGTTGTAGGAAGAACACACATCCCTGCGGCAACAGCTTTCCTGATAGCCCATCCATGATGTGGTGCAAAAACCTGTGCATAGGCCTTTTCAGCTGGATCTCGAAATGATTTTCCACTGCCACACAAAGATTATAGAGTGTTCAGATTGTATTAACATTAGCAATTCCTAATATCATCCTCCATATCAATCATCATCTGCTTAAATCTGTGTCTTCTAAGACTTGCTTGAAAAGAAAGATTTGTCTCAATAGGACAATGGCAGAAGTATTGGTGAAGCTAGCATTAAATGGGGTATTATCTCAGTTCTAAGTTAAAATCTCTCATGCAAAACATGTAGCCATTGCCCAGAAGCTGGGAGAAGCGTTTGAATACCTGAATTGAGTAGCAAACATAAGAAGGGCAAAAAGTTTAAACAACTTTAACATCAAATAGCAACAAAGTGAAAAGTTTTGAAGAAGAAAGATGAAAACAACATGACAACTACTTCCGGCATCAGACCATCTAATGAGATGTGGCATTGGCTGAGATGAACTATCACCTTCATATCAATATAGAACAAAACTACGGAGTATAAATCATTTAGTACCATACCAGCATCTTGTACTTAATAATACTGCCAGATTATGCAACGTAACATACAGTTATTGCAGAAGCAACATTTCCTCGTCAAAGTCTCCACACGAACTTGAGGGTGAAAAACACGTTAGCAAGTAATACCGACTCAAAAAGGGTATGCAAGAAACCAAATTTAAGTGTTATTACACCCACACCTACTTGGATAGCCTGATGCTAATTGGGGCATAAATTTAGTTTGGTAAAAGTAGCCATTATGATACGTACTCTATAGCTAAAAGCTCCTCAAACAGTACCCTGACCACCTCAAGCCCACGCTTCACTCTCAAGAGGTTTCTGGTATGACTTCCTGCTCTCCTCACGCAATTCCCCTCTACATCTCGATCAACCATCGCTGACAATGTTGTAATTGACTTCGCCGCCTCTGCGAGATCATCAACCTGTCAACAATTTAGGCAGCTAAATAAGACTTGCTTTTCAAGAAACAATAACCATGAAATGAAAATGCACTGTTATCAATTTTGAATATTTGAGCATTAATTTCCCAAATCAAATACCTTAATTACATCAGGACAATCATTCATAGGTAAAGCAAAACCGGATTAAATTGCATGAACTCTTTGATATAATGAAATTAATTGAGATCGAATTCTCAATTTCTTACATTTACTGGCGAATCAAACATACCTTAGCGGAGTAATCCATCTCAGCAAACTTGAAAGCGATGCCAAGACAACCAATGAGGGGAGCAACGAGCGAGCAGGCGTGGGAGAAGGGCGCCAGCTCCACGTCAGCGTTTTCTGAGTTCACCTTCTCTGCAAGTTCCTTGAATGCATCTGCTATTTTTCTCAGAGGTTTACCTACATCCGCCATTGATGATCTCTCTCGCGCGCTCTGCAAGTTCAATCCACGCTCTTTAGTGTAATTTAGGAACAGAATTCTGCACTCTATCTTTCCCTCTCCCTGGTTAATTAAGAATCTTCTTTCTCGTGTGGTCAACAACACGCAAGAAGCGCGGTCAACACGCAAGGAGGTTCTGGCATTGTTTCACTGGTTTTGCTCTGTAGGTGAATAAATCTCGTACGGGTTAAGATTGTCCTGGAGCCCCTGTTCCAACAGACCAATGGTCTCCCTTTTCTTTTTCTA